GCAGCTAAGAAATCACTTTCCTCATAGGGAGAACTGGGATGCCTTAAAATCCCCACTCCATTAGATTTCAGACATTGGAGACTGTTAACATGGAAGAGAGATCAGGGCTAGGTTCTATTATCAACTATACTCAAAGTCGGATTTCTAAGCTTCTTAATGAAGAAAGCTGGGCTCTGATGGTCTTGGGACTCAGAATAGGTAAAGTTTCAATGAGAGAAAAGGGAAAGCAGGGTGAAGTGTAGGTTATTGCCAGGCCAGGGGAACGGCTGTAACACAAGAGTCCTTCCAGATATGGGGAAAGTAGCTGAAGCGCAAAAGGTAAACGTCCCCCTAGGCCACAGTTTGGGTAATAACTAGCTGCAGCCTACACTCAGCTGCTCACTGCTGTCTGGAGAAAAATCTCACCAGATGCTCAACAGGCCTAGAATGACTTTTTTTTTTTTAGTTTAAATTCATTTTACTCTAAATTCCTCCTTGACCAAACTTCTCATTCCCAATCACAAAAGCTCAGTGGTTGGAGGAGAAATCAAAAGAGCAGTAGATAATATAATTGCAATGTTTAGAGCCCAGCCAACAGAAGGTAGAGCAGTTATTAAATCTTGTTCTTAAATGCCGGAAGCAAAGTTTCGGTAGTAGTTTAGTCCTCGGTGGACTCTCAGTTACTGTAGGCCAGAGTTGCCCAAGTTTGAGCAGTTCAGCTACCAATACCACAATTTTAATACAACCAACGAGTCTCGTTGACTATATTATTTACTTAATATTTTCTGCAAATTACCTTTAGAATGTATTTCAAAGGGAAACTTTATATCCTTATAATAAATAGAAAAAAGTGTCATGTTCCATAGATATAAGGTTAAATATAAAAATATAATTAACTGAAAGCAAACCAATGTTAATTCCAGCTAGTTCCAGCTGTAAGTCAAAGCCCACAACCTAAAGCCAGTTCTTTCTTGTCAAAAGAGATAGTAGCAAGTTTAGGGTGTTGTTAATGATAAAGCACCAGACTGAGACTTTTCTCTTGACACAACCAAGAAGACTGAAAGAGGAATGAAAATGGTGTAACTTTCCACCACACGATTCTTCAATGCCAGGATGCCCCTGGGCCACCTAAATCATCTGATGTAAGGTGCTGCATGTCCAACCTGGAGGCAGTACTGCTATGGGCCACGATGCATTTGAGGAATAAATAATTGACTATAAAGAGGATTGTTAATAAACCCTGTGATTTATAAAATTCCATTCAGGATTGTTATGAAGTGTGGACAGTGTACTCATTAGCCTTTATAGACTTTATGAATCTTACTGGACTATCATTTCCCAGACTAAAAGTTGCTTGTACAAATCACTTGTACATTGACTAAAATATATTCAACATTTACTGTATATTTTAGTTTAAATTATTCATTTGATCTCTTATTTAAATTCTGTTTCTACATCTTTTCCTTGTCTATAATAAGCATATCTTGACTAATTGTAATAATGTGATAATATCTCACTTTAAAGATTTCCCAAAATATATATGAATACTACAATCCTGGCATTTCCAATCAAGTGGGAACATCTTTGTATATATTGACTATGTCATCTAGGTCATCTGTTTTCTGAGGGCTCACAAGAACTCTATAAAGTCAAGTCTGAAGTAGGATATTTTCTTCTGTTCCCGATTTATTCTTGTACCCAGTGGTCAGCATTTACATTTTACATTTATGCTACACAGCTCTCTTGGCAGATCTGTACATGGGTAATTTCCTCACATATCCTACAGTCTTCTTGGAAATCAGGTTTTATGGCACTGTTACTTTTGGTCAGAAAGAAGAAGCACAAGATTGACTATTAATTCTTGGTATTGCTTAGCCTAAAAAAGAAAGCTCTTGTTTCTCTTGCTGTGGGAAGGGGTGGTGGTGAGGGGAGACAAGCCAGGATCTAAAAATAAGCTGGGTTTTCTTTCTTATTCACATGTAATTAGAGCCCTTTTGTAGCTACTGATTACTACCTCAATAGTTATAGAAAGAATAAATAATATATAATAATATATATTTTTAAATGTGGCAAAACTAAGAAAGAAGTAGCCAGGGCTGCATCTAATTTATCAACTTGGTGATTAAAGGGCTGGCTCTAGAGGCTCCAGACATCTAGGGACCCAGAGATAAAACGGAGCAGTTGGCTGTGTTTGTACTAATGAATCTAGGGCTTGAAAGATATCAGGCAATTTTAAAGAAAAGCAGCAATGACAAGAGACATTAGACAAGGCCAGCAGGGTAATGAAGGGCAAGGCCAGTTACTGAGCGAGAAAATTACTTCATTTTCTGTGATAATGCCTGTGTGCTTCGCAGGTCTCTTCTCACGCTTTGCTAATATGACTCTATATACATACAACATCAGAATGCTACTCACAGCATAGAAGGAAAGAGCCTTGGAACATTCCACAGAGGGGCAGAGGGCTTGGGTCTATTATTTTGAAAGGGGGAGGCTAAGAACAATGGTAGCAGAAGGGGGTTAGATTGCAAGGCTGGGAACGGTGCTTTAACAGAATGTGAGGGACGCACAGGAAGACACAGCAAGGAAAAGAAAGAAAAGGCGAGCAAACATACTCTGGAAATGCAGAACTGTCTGGAGGATGAGGTGGGGCAGAGAATGGGACCGCCCGGTGGTGGTCAGCATATCTGCAGAGCAGAGCTGCGGGCCAGTCTGCTCACTGGTTTTGTTTTTTTCAGCGGCCAAAATAAAAAGGGCATTGGACACTTGACTCCTCAGCTAGCTGGCCGGCGGACACATTTTCTGCTTAGTGGGGGAAATGTGCAGCATTTTAGAAACAATTCCAGAGTATATTTAGCTCCTAAAGCTGGCGCATACAAATGTCACATTCCCATGAGACAATCGACCCAGTGAAAAGAGCACCTGCCAGAGGCCCTCAGAAAACCCAGGAAACTTGCACATCCCAGGAGATGCTGCACACACGGATGTGACATCATTGAGGCATCCACGTCAGGGAATGAGGAGAAGCGAAGGGGATTACAGATTGGGTCAAGTTGAGGAACGTCATAATGAGTCAGAAAAGAAACAAGACTTTTCCAACAGAATAACGCCACCACCAAGTCATAACATACAGTGCTTGGCAAAAGAAAACAAAAGATCAAAAGAAATCATGATCATTAAACGGACAATTCAGAGCAAAATGGAAATTAAAATCATAAAAATCATGGTAAAAGGAACATTAAAGCTACATCTTTCAAAATTTCTGCACAGCATCTCATTGTCTTTGCCCCATCAAATACATAATTGTCCAAAATCAAATTCAAATTTGACAGGGCAAGGCAAGGAGTTAATAGCACAAGAACAGTGATCATGTTAAACACCCATGCAGTCACCTCTGCCACCATTGTTTGACAATTTGAAGACTGCTTCCAGCTTTGTCAATATTCATAATAAGACCCAGGAGAAGGAACAATGCCGAATTTTAAAATGATGTCAAAGTGTTAATTGGACTCTTTGATAACCTCCATCCCTTGGGGGAGTTAACGATTGGAGAAAATTCAAGCCACCAGTCTCAGTGAAGTGAAAACGACTGTAACCAACCAGCTAGATATCTGGTTGACATATTTAATGCTTTACTGGAAAGGCTGTTTGGTTTTTTAGAAAGTCGCAGTGGGCAAACACAAAGTGTTTTTCCCGAGTTGCCTTTTCTTGAGAACCCAGCCAAGACTAATACATCTGCGGTCTGGAGCCACACATAACAAATCATGGCACATGCTAGGGGCTCGTGGCCATGGTAAGTGCAAGGATCCCTCCAGCTGAAAGAGGCTGCTGAGACGAAAGCCACTTTTAAAAAAAGATTTGGGGCAGGGCACATTAATAAGAAGTTACAGAAGAAGAATAAAATTAATTAAGGGAGCATGCTCCAGAGCAAGTTAAAAGGGCTGCATCTTCACAGTTTGGCTTGGCACGTGGAGAAGCAGCGTGTGCGGCACGCTCGGGAGATGAGACACAACAGGGCATGGAAACTTAGCGTGCGAGCCTGCCTAGAAATCTCGTAGGAGTAAAGATGGACATAGGTACACAGAAAACCCTGATGGAGGACGTGATGGAGACTGTCTTCCAAGGGTCACTACTGTGGCTGGTCTGCCCCCAGGACCCAAATCCCTGCTTGCATGAAACTCTTGAAAACATATAGAAGTAAACAATTCTGAATGGAGGGAAACAGCTCACAACATAACTGGGCTTTTCAGTCTCTGATCTGCAGGACTGTTTTTTGGACAAGTAAAGGCCTCTTTGGTTGCAGCTGCAACTAAAGTAGGATGTGTTACCAGAAGCAGCAAATGGCAAGGAAAAAAGATGACATTTCCTGTCTCTAGCTGAGCAAAGAAAGCAGGGGAGAATTTAGGACAGTTCACAGTAGAGTCCCTTTCATTTAGTGCAGCTTCCTTTCCATTTTAAATGCATAGCAATGCCGCTTGATTAAATGACATAATTTTGTTTTAGCTGTTGTCCTCTAAAGGCAATTACAGTATGTCTCAGGACCATAGCTCTATTCACATTCAGTAGCATGCACGAGTGAGAGACGGCTACCAGCCAGAAAAGACTGTGCCCTGCTACTTCTCCATTCACCAATTAAACGGGCCTTTACTTTGCTTGCATGCACTTGCCAAAGCCCTCACTGCATCCCATTCCATTATGGTGCAAAAAGAGGACCCAAAGTTTACAGAAGAGTGGAAAGGGATTTCAGGAGCCAGCATCTGCTTTGGGCCAAGCCACACCTCTTTTGGGTGGAAGAAGCTTAGAGGCTGTGTTATTTGTTTTGTGTGGTTTCTCCTTGCTCGGGCAACAATTTAGGATCAAGCTTAGCAAAGAGGATTGGGTTCCAGTCTTTTTTGAGATGCTTTCAATCATAATGTGTTGGAGGTTCCTCAAATCTTGCTGTGATTCAGCTGGAAGCAGTTACACGGTCCTCCCTACTTCCCCTCCCTCTCCCCCCAGAGGAAGAGGCAATTCCAAGGCCTTACCCTTCTTGTCTTGGTGATTATGGGAAGACACTGCCCCCAAAGAGTCTGTGCTGCCAGGTGAATGGAGCAGATCCTTCCAGTCCAGCATTCCTCCCCTAGACTCATACCCCTCTCGAGCAGCCGAATCTGACGTGGTGGTGCTGGGCAAGAGGGAACTGGAGTGCCCTGTTTTCATCACAAATACAGTTAGGGAAAACATCACCAGAGACGCCCACATTCCCTTAGCTCAGAGGCCAGGAGATTGGACACCCAAGCTGGCTATAAGACTGGAAGGCGATCACCCTAGAAATAATAAGACTCGAGGGGAGGGATAAAGGGTCAGATCCCATCTCTGCTTCTTGCTGGGTGAGCCTCAGGGACTCATTGAACCTCTCTGGGCCTTGGTTTTCCTTGTGCACAAAATGGGGATGATGCCATTTACCTCGAAGTGTTGGGAGGGAAATAGTGAAAATACTTGGCAGTGTCTGACACATAGTAGGTGCTGAAGAAATACTAGTGTCCTCATAGCAGCACTAATGGCATAATGTGTCCACGCTGGAGACACTATTTGTGACTGATGTGGGGGGAGGTTTATGGTAGTGGACCAGCCTCTCCCCATCACAAACAGCTCAGCTGCCCTGTGCCTTTCTCTTGGAGGGTGTGTCTAGTTTTCAGCTTCGACTCCACTCCACAGGCATTCCTCTTTCTGGGAGAAGTGACTGCTTTCTAAAGGGATCTGCTCCCACCTCCTTTTCACTGGAATGGAGGCCTCAAACGCTCCATGTTGTTACGGCTTTGCCTTTTGTGTCTTAGGCCAGCAATGTTAGTTTCATGGCTTTATGAGTCATACTTGTGAGAGGCTGTTTTTGAGGCCACACCGACTGATAATGTTCTGATTAGAAAGAAATAGCTTTTTGAGATCCAGAGTAGCCTGTGATAGATATTAGAAGAAGGACAGCTAGGTTGGGAATTATGGCAGACACTGGACATTTCCTGTGAATACATTCCTAAGCTCTCCTCCCATCATTCCACAAGGCTAAATGCAGATCATGTTAGGTGCTTTGATTTAAACTGGCCCAATGATTTAAAGAAGCCCCACTACCTGTTCTTTCTTGTAGAAAGAAAATATAACCTCTCATGATTTTCAAATAGTCTTTGGTTTATTTAACCATTTTACCTATGGCAACCTCTTGAGTAATTTTTAGAAAGAGATCGGGGCAACTACTGCGAATGTATAATTGGTGCCTGTGGTAGAAAGCAGGACAGATTCAAGGTGGCTTTGACCTTGGTCTGTGATCACTATGTATGTGATAAATAAAATACTGGCCACCAGAAAGATCATAATGATCAACACATTGCATTCTTCCTTTTTACAATTGTTACTGCAAGTTGGATTCCCAGGAGACTACAATACTGCCAATTACAGAATATATATATAAAAGAGCTGGGAAAAGCAAGTCAGCCAAGTGGCTTGTCTAAGCTCTAATGATTCCCATGAAAGCACCACACTTAGGTGCTACTGCACAGCTTTGGTAACATTTAAGCAGCCGCTTTCTGTGCAGAACTTGTTTGGCTCCTACACAGCTTCAAACATCCACTCTGTTACAAATAGTCTGATTCATATCCAACTGCTGTAAACACGTTCATTTAAAACTCAAGAATGCTTGAATCTAGACTTTTTTGTTTTTACATTTCTGGGTTTCACAGCTCATCTCATCTCATAATGCTGATAAGAGAGCAAGGGTAGGAAAATAACCTGAATTGGAAATACAGAATTACTTTTACTTCCTCTTGCTTATACTGAGATCTAAAATACAACCTCAATTTTCTACCCTCAATTCAGCACTGCTCTAATGAAATACAGAGTTAACCTAAGAGAGAATTCAGCACCCAGCATAAGCAAACAATTAGAAATAGCTTTGTAGGGAGTTAGAAAGGGGGGAAGAGGGGAAAGCCTCTCCTCCAAGTAGCAATTTTTTTTTTTTACCTGAATTGATATTCATTTTGAACACTTTCAATTTAACTGTGTTCAAGGGGCAATTTTATGATAATGCCCTAAGTATGGTTTAGGGAGAACATTTCTTAATACGGTAATCTAGGGGAAATATATGCCTAAGGGACACATTCTCTGTAGAAAGAGTTCTTGGACCATATGCTGCAAATACGTGGAAAACTCATTGGTAATGGAAAGCTATGGCTACGAGAGGATATTAATGTGGACCAGATGGTGGTTAGGTAGGGAAATGTTTTACACAAATGTGAGAAATCAGCTCCTTCCTATTGCTGAAGCGTTAGTCTAATACCCACCACATCTCCATTTCTATATGTAAATCTAGAGAAACCATGCATCTGATGTAGTCAGAGGAAAAAAGTAGAACAGCATGAGGTTTGTAATCTTTTAAACGTATGCTTGAGGACAGGCAGCATGTGTCACCCGTGAATCAAATAGCCAGAGGAAACAATGCCTGATTCTCTAAAGTTTTAGAATCACCATGTACAAGGACCATTAAGCAGCAGTCCTTGGTTTGGAATCGAAGAAGGTATATGATAATTATCTCTCCAAGCTTAAAAAAGGTTAAAAGGAAATCACTTTATTTCTTCTTAGAATCTGATTCTATAGGCTATATTATTTCTGTGCATTCCCTAAGAGACTTTGTAACAGAAATAATATTACAAAAATAGGCAGTCATTTGCGGATATAGTATTACATGTCAATAGAATTCGAACCTATAATTTTGTTTCGTTAATCCAATTAGGGAGGTCATATTTTTATTGATGGAGAATTATGTAGTATTCTTATGATATACAAAGAGACAGATTTTAAATGTTAACTTGAATATGCATCATATTGTTTCTCTATATCTACGAATCTGTGATTCCAAAGGTTAGAGACCCTTCAAACTACTCTAACTTGTTAACAATGATTGTGGCCAATTAGACACAAAAAAATACACTATGTCAATACAAGAGAGGAAAATAATCAGGGTCCAATTCACTAAAAAGGGGTTCTTGGTTTTGGAATTAGGCAGTTGCGGTTTTGTCATTCACTCTATGAGCCTGCACTCAGCCAATGAACTTCTTATGGAAATATTCAAAGGACACAGCTAGAAATAGTGGTTGCACTTTGGACTCTGGGGTTGGCTTCCTACTCTACATCCATGCTCTTAAAAATAGCAATTTGGTATTTCCTTTGATGGTACAAATACAACACCTAGTCTAGTGCCTGGCACATAGTAGGTACTCAACAAATATTTGCTGAATGAATTAATTAAATCTATTCTTCATTTATTAACTCCAAAATAAAGATATCTTCAATAATTTGTGAAAATCAAGTTTCCTGTATTTTTCTAAGTAATGTCTGGAGCAGCCTCATTTTGATGGTCAATTAATCATCTAACCACACCACCCTGGATAGATTAGGCCCGAAATGGACAGGAGCTTTCATTAAAAGGAAGACAATTCTTCTTTAGTTTCACCACAGAAACCATTGATCAGGAGCTGAGGGTGAATGCTTTGTCCTTCAAAGCATTAATGTGGATGTATTATTAAGTTATTTTCCTTTTTGTAAAAGAATTAAGAGATACATAGATTAGAGAATTATTTTTGTTGATAAAGAGCATCCCATGGTTTAATTGTTCTATTGATATGAGAAATTACCTGGGAGTTAAAATTGGTCTTAGTACAGATTGATGAATGCTAGGGAGGTTGCTGGTTCAATTCAATTCAAGACCTGAATTTCTCAATATCTGACAAAGATTATTCAATTATAAGAAATGATTGCAAAGTATGATATTGAGGAAGAGCAGATGCTAAGTGGGTCCTCTTTCTGAAGGACAAACTTAGCTAGGTGACATTTGCCTCCTGAGAAATTTTTCTTCTAGTAGTTGGTGTTAAATATTCTGGCTTGAATCACAGATGAGAGAGTGTTAAAGGTGGATGAATTCTGTGGGCTCATCTCCACACTGCCTCACTTCACACGGGGGACCCCAATCGGGGAGACCGGGCATTGCTTTCCATACCCGCACAGCTCCAGTTTATAAGATAGTCTTTAGGACTTTCAAAGGCATATTTATGCTAATTAGGCATAGGGAGTGAGAGTTTATATTGAGCTACTAGACACATCTGTAGCCATCCTGAATTATTTCTTTGAATCCTAAATCCACCTGGCTTTCTTTTCTTTCCTCTTTTATTCTTTTCATTATTTTCCCCCTTCCTTTCTTACCTACCTCTACACTTAAAGACTTTCCTAGAACTGTTACTCTTCTTAAACACAAAATCTACACAATTTCTGCCTATCAATGAAACTCATAGTCCTCATTATAATGTATAAGCTTAAATTTGGCATCACATGTTCTTCATTTTATATTTAAAAAAACACATGATAGTTTACTCTAAAAAATACTTGGGGGAGCTTTGAGAAATGGAAATGGAATATTTCAACTACTTCTCAACTTTTCTTATAAAGAGCTCCGAATATTCTGTCTATGGACTTAATAGCTTTGTTTACTGTAGTGTCTATATATTTCAGAAAAGGAACAATGGGATAAATCCTGTTTGTTCATCGTTGGCACCATGTCACTCTTCCTTGTACACATTCTAAAGAAATCTCGATGAAAATATGTCTGAATATTCGCACTCTTTATGAACTTAAATTTCGATGGCCAATTTCATGCTATATTGGAAAGTTTTGCCTAGCAAGAACTTGGTATGTTCACTCTGTATAGATTTTCCCCCGCAGAAGATATTGCTCTGAAAGTCATTGTTTTGGGAATGACTCTATCAGTTAAAGAGTTATGGCCTAGTAGTTGTAAGCACTCTTCTTTCATCTTGGATATACTTATGTCCAAAAGTCATTTTTTCTCCTTCAAGAACTCATTAAATATATTCACAAAATTCCCCAAAGTTGGCGTATTATATGGATTAAACCGCAGGACTCAATCTCATACATCAAATGCAGGCAGAGTGATTTTTGAAGCATCATGAAATTTATAAATAATTTTAGTGAATTGGGGCCCTGAAGTAACAAAGAATCTGGTCCATGGTGTTTAGGAATGAAAACTATAAACTACCAAAGGGTAAGTAGCTTGAACAATTAAAAAAAAGAAAAAAAAGAAATCCATAAACTGACCATATACTGTGTTGTAAGACATTTCATGATCTGGTAGAGGAGTTGAAATGTCTATAAAAAAATAGTGAGGATAAAAACAATTAATTTAAAAAGAAACCTAAGATTTGGAGACATTGGAGAGGATCAGTGAAACAGGATTTCCTAAATGGGGTTTCATTGATAGTTAATTATGAGTAATGTCTTCCTTACCGTTCAACGCCACGAAGGAATCTGAAAGACAAAAGGGAGGAAGGTTACTCCTGTTTAACACGGCTTAGCGTGACTTACACGGTAAGCGGGAGTGAACTGACACAGAGCGATGAGAACACGTGATGCCCAACGCTAAGTAAGTGCATTTAATTCTGGCTGTAATACCACATGCTTTACAGTGGGTCCAATTTCACACCCCTGCCTCTTCCCCAAGTGAGTTTCCCAGAGGCAGAGAAAAAGCAAGACCTAGTAAAGAAATGGTAACTGCGATGACAGGTGTTTCTGAGCATCTAAGCCCTACCATCTATGTGGATAAAATAAGCAACATCTGCAACACACTTATAAAGTACTTTCTTTGTGTATAAAGTACTTCTTTTCATAAAGAATGTATAAAGTACATTCTCTCATTTCATCCACACAACCATGCTGTGAGGAACTGTCCAGGTTCACAGTGTTCTGAACTCAGCAGGGGTTTTAGTGAGTTAAAAACAAAAATAAAAGTAATCGCACACACACATAGGTAACAGACGCATATGTGTGTGTGTGTGCTGTGTGTTTGGGTGAGAACACGGGTTCACTCAGCCTGCTACTCAGCCTCTGACACTGGCTCTTTATGATTTCCCCTTAAAATCCTGATAAAGAGTCACTGTGCACCACTGTGAAAGCCTCTGAAATCCTGTGAACAGGTGTGTCTAACAGAAGCAGGTGGTGCTCTAGCAGGAGCACAGGAAGCTGAGAAGCCACTAGGAAACGCAGTGGAGGGTCCAGTCAGCCTTACCTCCCGCCTTGAGTGGCACTCTAAGTGCCTCAGCGGGAATGAGATCAAGGTTAGGGAGCACAGGAAACCACAGAGGCTTGGCTGCTGAGATCAAGGAGGAAGTCAAGGGCTTGGGGCCCGAGGGTCTTCCCTGTGCTAGATACTGAGGCTTCCTTGGGCTTTTCTGCCAAGGACACAGGTGTAGTGTGAGCCTACTGGTGTAGTGGACACTTGCTAGAGACACTAACAACCATATTCCCATTTTTCACATATTTACCTATGAAATCCAAATCAACACCCAAGTTTTCTACAGAGGCCCATACCACCAGAGCATAAAAATATGATGAAAATTATTCACTAAAGTCAGCTAATTGAGTTCACTCACATAGAAACCAAAACCTGTTTCCCTGAAAATGGAGTCTAAAGGCATCAATGTGGTTAAGATCCATGGATCAGATTGTTTCACTGCACAAAAGTAGCATAGATCTTTTGGCAGTGACACTGTCTCCTCTATTGATTTCTTAACATGTTACATTTTATGTGTGAAGACATAATAAGCTTTTGCCAATATATAATATTTACAAACAAAAAATATGTGGTGAGGAATTAGGAGATAAGGCTACCGTATCTCTATTTGATTATATCTGATCTCTATAAAAGATAAGGTAGAAAGTTGAATGACACCTTAGCATTTTGGGGAGAATTTTGATATTAATCAGATCACAGAACAACCATGATCCTTTACACGAAGTTCTAACTAAAATGTTATCATAGCCCAGCCAGGCATGGCTCAGCGGTTGAGCATTAACCTAGGATCCAGGAGATCCTGGTTGGATTCCCAGTTGGGGCACATGCCTGGCTTGTGGGCTCGATCCCCAGCAGGCGCATGCAGGAGGCGGCCAATCAATGACTCATTATTGATGTTTCTATCTTTCTCTCCCTCTCCGTTCCTCTCTCTGAGATCAATAAAGATATATTAAAAAAAAAAAATCCAGAATTAGGAACCATTGTTTAAAAAAAAATGTTATCATATAATGACTTTTGAATGAAAAGGTTATTTTGCGTCACCTTGTAGTTAGTGGGCTATTTCCAAAAAGTTTTTCTACTGCAAATGGTAACATACATATATCTAATTAAAAAGTAATTACTAGTTTATATGTTCGAGAAGAAGAAAATAGTCCCATTCGATTAAAAAGCCAGAGTACAATGCCCAATCTTTTAATTATTTGACTAAAAACTACAGTGTAATAGCACATTTTTAGAAAACAACAAAACTGGGTTCTTTACAATGAAAATGCAGATATAACTTATTGTTATGCTATAATTAATATAGCATAATATTAATATAGAGTGAATTTGTTCCACAGCATTGTAATAATAGGTGCCAGCATTTACAGCAACAACATTGACAGTAACTTTGGCTTTAAAATACGCTATTTTCTTTGATATTTAGAAGATGATTTCTGTTACTTATGCATGTTTTGGTGCCAGCTGTCCTCAGTGCCACATGCAGGGTAATGTTTCTAGGCCATTTGATAAAAGCATCTTTGCCCAAAGATAAACATGGATAGGAAGCTTTACTTACTGTGACAGTCTCCGAGGCCATCTGTATTGCCACGCTCTATGTCCTGTTCAAAAGTCAGTCTTTCAAAAACGGAGGGGGGAGAAAAACAAACAAATTCAATAATGTGAGTGATTACTCTGGTTTAGTTTCACTAAAGCAACTAACATAGTTTGATAAATTGAGTGGCAGGTGCAAAAAATAAGTGTATAACAGCTTGAAAACTTATCTCTGAAATTTATAGAAATGAGTCTTATGTATAAGAATATCCAAAGAGAAGCCATGGTTTAAGCAGTTAATCTAGATATTATTCAGGAGTTAATTAGTTTGTGCATTATTTATATCTTTCTTTTACTCTGATTCCCTGAGCATTTCTTAAGCATTTAATTGTTAAAATACATGTTATAGGCAATATAGAAGTCTATAAATTAAAAATAAGTCTTTTCCTCTCTTTCTCTTTCACTCTGACCCTTGCCTTCCTAAGACCTTTATCTATTTCTTTTGCTTAGCAATAACTTATATAACAAAGTGTTAAAAGGTACAAATGGCCAGCGGATATGAGGGGCCCAAGAACAGGAGGCCTGCAGGTGCATTTTGCTGAGACCATTCAGATATTCTGTTCACTGCTCCCAATCCTCAGGAGTATCCTTTTGGTTACACATTGAATATAGAAAGATCATTTCTTGCCCTAGTGTTTGGCTCAGTGGTTAAAGCGTCAGCCTGTGGACTGAAGGGTCCCAGGTTCAATTCTGCCCAAGGGAACGCACCTCCGTTGCAGGCTTGTTCCCCGGCCCCGGTTGGGGCGCGTGTGGGAGGCAACCAATCGATGTGTCTCCCTCACATCAATGTTTCTCTCTCTCTTTTTCCCTTCCACTCTCTCTGAAAAGCAATGGAAAAAATATCCTCGGGTGAGGATTTTAAAAACAGAAAGATCATTTCTTAGCTTTCCTCACTGTACTTTGTGATCCCTCCTCCTTCACTTCAAGAGTCCCAGGAAAAGATATAAAGTGCTAACATTATAGTATGTCTATATTGCTACTTGTAAAGATGATCTAATTACAGATAGACATCAACACTTTTTATTAGTCAGGTTTCCAGGTCAGACTTACAGTTATTATCAGCCCTGTATAGGAATACTTCCCCCCATATTATGCAGGTGGTGGTCAGGGTGTGCCCTTCTGTCTGTTTGTCTAGCTGTTCTAAAACGGGAGAGGAGATTCAGTGACGTGAGGACCATTCTGTTTTCCCTTTGGACCTGAGGAAGCTGAAGGAATTGGCTAAGAAAGAACTGTGCTGCCATATGGCACCTTCCTTGAGTTGCCATAACCTGTCAAGGACAAGCATTGAATGTTTTTCCAATGTTATTTTGGATTTCACATCCACTGAAGTAAAAACATAAAAGAAACCTTTTAACTAATGCCATCTGAGCATTTAAAGACCGGATAACAATTTTAAGCACCAAAATCACAGGCATGTTAGACTGTCCCGATCGAGCTGATCTGCTGGAGAGCTGCCAAGAATCGACTACCTAATGAGTAATAGGGTCAACTGTTCTTCGGCGCAGGAGAAAGATTTATTGGATGTATACAACATGCTTGCAGTACAAATGCATCGCTTAACAAATGCTCCGCAATTTCTTCTCAGCCTTGTACGGTCAATTAGAGGAGCGGGTTTTGTGATGGCTGGGCAAACCGCGTCACTAATCTAATTGCTACCCAACTGCTCCTTTTCTCTGCTGTCCTGGAACTGCGATGATTACGGCATGCACATCCTCGCCGCTCTCTCCAGGGAGCACTTAGAAGCCCGCTGTGTTTCTTTTCTTTGTGTTTTTAATCAGCCCGAGGATGCATGATTAATCAATTGGCAACCTGCCACATGCGATATTGGGGTGTTCTGTGAGATGGGAAAAGGAAGGAGAACGGCTGGCAGCCCCGCTGATGAGGCTGAGCGCAGAAGGCGGAGCGGTGGTGGCATGTCCACGGCACGCAGAGAATGGATGGCACTTGACACTCTCCCACACCTGGGGTGCCTTACCTGCTGTTGGGTGACAGATGGGCACAGGAACCTCCTTCCTTCAACCACCCACAGTATGGGTCTCTGGAGGCGATACAGGTTCTGCAGGAAGAAGATGACCGTGAGCTACCCAGGGCTCCTTTCTAAGCACCTCCTAATGGTCAATGAGGCAAAGTACGTACTTTTTGCACTTCCCGTGTCGCTCGCACCGGCCGAGGGGAACCTTTATCACACAGGTGGAGAAGGCGACATACAGGGAGCTGCTTGCTTTGTCCAGCTGCAACCCCATAATCCTCTTGTCTTCTACTCCATCGTAGCTACACCTAATTTTATAAGGCAGGATGATATCATTAAAAGCTTCTCTCGGGTCAGCTCTTTTTTCCTGCCACCACTCACGCCCTACCCCCTAGCCTGCAAAGTGATCTCTTCATCTGATCTAACTGAAGATGAAACAGATGCTTATGCACACAGATGCACGCACACACACACACACACAAGCACACATATATGTGTGCATCTATATAAATATATACATTATTAGCAAGGAGAAAATAATGCTTCTTAGGTACTGAAAGATTTTTACAAATAATATTAAAACCACACCTAAAAATGCATAAAACCTAAGTCTTCCATGATTTTCTCTGAATGAAAGAGATCACAATAACATAACAAGTAATTACTAAGAAAGGACCAAACATTCTACATACTTTTCAGGATTGTAAACGCTCATCTCCTCCAGGAAAAGGCTGTCATTTAGGAAACCACTGTTTCCTATTCTGGCCAAGAACTTCAAGATGATTCCCTTTTCTGATCCCAGGAAAACCACAGTGTGGTTCTGATATGGCCCAGCAGTGGTGTCCACTGCAATTTTGGTGAGGCGGTATCTAAAAATGACAGAATCGCAATTTTTATCTCTCTGTTGGTCTGTCATTCAAGTTATCCCCCTTTCCACTTCAAACAATTGCATTGTGACACAGCTTTCTAGTAATAACTTCAAGAGAAATATATGCATGTAAATAATGCTCTCAAGCTGTTCTGGTACGTTGCTTCCATATGCAGAGCATTAGCATGGCTCGGAGGGGAGGAAGGAGGTATGGTGTGTGGGGGGCCAAGTTACATAATAAATAGACAGCCACGATCATCTGAAACCACTCAGCAATTACCCCTTCCATGAGCAGCAAGGAAAGACTAATGTCTCCTCTGAAGAGGGGAAGAAATACGGGAACTCATTTAACATTTCATTTAACATTGGAAAGACAAGCAATAGCTACCATTTTTTTATACTGTTCTTCTGAGGTGTAAACCTTTTCAACAACATGCCAGTTAGAAAGCTTTTCAATTGTGTGTAGAAGGACTGAGAGTTCTGAAGGATGTGCCAGCCAGACAAGACCCATTTAAAGCAAAGGTGAAAGGGCACCAGCCTTGTCACCTATCGAGGATAAGTCCTACTGGGCATCCCCTTTCTCTGAAATCCCTAAGCCATTCAATACTCCCCAGACACCTATTTGTCCTAAGCACCATAGCAGGTCCCAGAAAATATGGACCCTTCTGCAGGCTACATTGCTTCCATCTTATGGGTAAGAGCTATTCTAGTACTTTAATATCTTTCAAATAAAGGCACATGTTAAAATTGGTGGTAAAGTTAATTAACATTGTGTTTGATGACTGCCACAATCGGACGGTACTTGGGGAAGCCTGTTGAAAGGAGTAGTTCATGCTTTCACAGATTTCACATCAGCTGGCCCATCTCTGTTGGCCACCACTTCAGATAACAAACGCTGAAGCAGGAACCTTCATACTGGTGTATTTGTGCAAATCTTCTTCCTGCCCACGCTCCACTTGACAGTGAACAACCCAGGCACAATGCTTGGGTGGAATCTGCAGCTTGTTTTGCAACCATATCCAACCAAACAGGCATCCACACTGAATGACCCTCCTTCACTGCTCCTTCACTTTTGCACAGACTGGGATGAAGGGGCTAACGGGGAAGGAGATATCTTTGTTCCCTCTCATTGCTGTCAGTTCTGGTTAGCTCCCAAATACCCGAACTCTCCTCACTGGGAATGTGGCAGTGGGGGTTTGGTGGCATCTACCCAATTCGCCAGCATTTCATCGCTGAATCAATATGCATGGTAACAGAAGAGGTCTGTGGCGTTTCAAAACATGATCCACTGATAGGAGCACGCGATGGGGCAGGGAAGACCCATTTAGGACGCAGTTTGCTCAGCACGCACCTGACCATGGTCCTCAGGAACCACGGCCTGTTGATGATGGAAGGCACGGCCTCATCCATGAGCGGGTGGGTTTTGATGAAGTTCAGGGTATCGTCAGGAAACTCATTGGAGGTTGAATACTTTTCTAAAGAGGACGAGCCAGCGCAGCAACCTGGTCTAAAGAGAAAAAGAAAGGGAGGGAGCTTATTTCTTGCCTCATGGCAGATTCTGTGAATGAACTGCTTCTCTAAGCATCTGGCACTAGGGAGAATGTACCAGGGGCTGAGAGGAAGAAGTTGAACAATGCAGAATGCCACCAAATAGAATGTGCTTCCATTTCCTCCAGGCCACCTCCTCGTGCCAGGGAGGAGCCTCAGCCAGGACAGCGCAACCTCGGCTGGGGGCAGCTTGGCTTCTCCCCAGAAGCACAAACAAATCCCATAAACAGGGATGGAGCTTGAAACAAGCGGGGGAGTGTGTGGTTTGCACATGTCTCAGGGACTGCCCTCTCTGTCCTAAAGCCCTGCTACAAGTTCTCGAGGCATTTGCTCTATAAAGGGAGAGAATTAAGCTGACTTTTCCACTAATGTAGAAAACAAAGGCATTCCAAAAGCCACCAGCCAACATGTGTACCAGCAAGGCTCCATCTAAACATCTTTCATTCGGAGTCAGAGAACATTTGTATTTTGTTTTTTATGGAACATTTGCTTTTGTTTGGATTTGGGCAGGTATGAAAAGCCAATTATGCTAAAGATTTCCTCCTGAAAGGTCACTTCTTTATGACATGAAAATTTGTTTCTACAAGAAATTCTATGGCTTCAGGAGTTAAGGGACATCTCAGTAACGACAGATCAGGGAAACACTGACAGCCATCCTGCCCAGACAGCTGGTTTGCCTGCTGGTGCGGGAAAGGAAACTGGACCCTGACAGCAACGGCCGAGTCTAGCCCCAGGCACACGCCGCTTCATGGCACTGACCCAGCCAGCCCTGGGAACGTATCCTGACGTCTGAGGGCAAACATATTGCCAATAGTAAAAACCACTTGAAGAGTGTTTCCTGGTCACGGCTGACACCATCTTACACACCAAGGAGAACACATTACTTAAGTTCTCTCTGAAACCTGACCCCTCAGGCTTAGTTCCCCTTCCTGCTTACCTAGAAGCTAGCTAACAGTTCCAGACTTTGACTTAGGAAATCTGAGGTTTTGCCAGAGTGTGCTTTTTGCACCCAGACTGCTCTCCATAACTAACAGTATGCACATGCCAGACAATTCAGAGGATGAAGACAGATGAAGAACAAGGCTTTCTCTCCTGGGTACAGTGGTTCACATTATCTAAGTTAGTTCAATGAAATGGGTCGGGCTAGGCAGTTGCTGTGGGGGACTCGAGGTTAGAGGAGATACAGTAGTTGGAAACCAAAAACTTAAGATATTGGGCTTCCTTCCAGAGGCCCACAAATTCAGTGGGGGCAGCTGGGCACACAGGGATGTTTCTATGTAACTTAGATTGCAAATGCTGTAATGAAGGTATCCAGTGGGTACCACATAAAGAGGGCAGGCATAGGGATGGGGGGCAGTTTTCTCCTGTCCCAGTTAAAACGAATGAATTAACTGCTTTAGTGTGAGGATTGAAGGAGAGATTACAGAGGACAGGACCAAGAGGTCTCTGGATTGTCTCTGGACAACAGATTCCCAATGAAGGCAATTTTGGGGCACATTTTGGGGAGAGGGAAATCTGGATTGATCTGAACCCAAAACAGGCCAGGACCTGGCAGACCAGAGACATGTTAATGGTCTAATGCACCTGTGGTCTCTTCTTGCCCTTGACCTGAGTCTTGACTCAGCTCTGATCCAGCCTGGTCAAAAAATCCAGGGAACACCATTTCTGTTTCGCATTTTATTAGGATTTAAAGACATGAATCTCTTTAAAATGGAGTAGAAGCATGGAGGAGTGGTGGGAATAACCTATCCAGCCATGTGAACTTGCACAATACACTTTATACCTCTCTGGGCCTCAGTTTCCTCAACTACAGACCATTGGAACTGGCTGGGCAAGGTGCTTCTATTCATCCTAGGATTACATTGGCTAAACCACAGACATAGAGATTAAGCAAAAGACTAGAGAGTCATTGTTTCAAATACAATATAAGTAACTCTGAATTTTGCTTAAGTGGATGAAGGCAAGTGACGTCATAGGCCTTTCTGTTGTTCTGGCATTTTATCTGTAAGGCTAGCATGGAAGACACTGGTGTGCAGTTCACAAGACAATCATTATCAGAGGAGCAAGCTGAACTGTTTCTAGAAGTTCAAAGTAGCATATAAATGTTTGCATGTACCTGGGCTTAGGCACTCGTTCATCAGGAACTGGTGTCCACGTGGAATCCGGAGACTTCTGTTCTTTGAATCTCCCAGTGAAAACATTGGCAATGTCAAGCATGTCATAGGCACAGACTGCAGAGCCAGGGATGCTGCAACATGACATTTCACACAGTGTTACTCATGCAACAGGTGCACATGCAGCTTGGAAAACATATTCCTAAGAAACTTTTCCATTACGGGGAGTTGAAGTTTAAAGTTAATATACTGAACGCAATAAATATAAGGGATCCTAGTGCATAAAGTGAATGGTCCTGGAAATCAAATTTTCACCTCTGGCCTTAAATAAAGGGTTAGTTAAGGCAAAGTTTTAAAGAGAAAGAACCTCTTTGTGTCTTCTGGAACTGCTTTTGTTTAGAAAGGAAGAATGATTGAACTGGTGATGTGGAAGTTTCATGAATTCCCTGATATTAATTATTAGTCAATAACCCCAAAATAAAATCTTTAGAAAAAATTCTACACCTCCAATATTGGTAAAAATTTAAAGTAAAATTGCCTCCACTGTCCACATATTGCTTCTTCAGATTTGGTACCTCAAGCTAAGGACTCCAGGAGTGAGAATGTCTGTGTGCAGAACTCACGAATATCTTGTTAGTCACTGTACATTCTAGTTTTTACCCCTGTTTATTTGCATAGGACTGAACAATTTAAATCTCTAAAGCATCAACACTTTGCAAATAAAGTGCTCTATTAAGTGCTAAATGATAATAATCATGGTGATCTCTACCTATAATTACCATTCTTGCCTGGAACTCCTGGAAGGACTTTGGGATTTTTTCCCACCAATGGTGAGAGGCATGAATAACCCATTCATCTGGGTTTACTGTTTGAACCCATGTTTGTTTTTGACTATGGCTGTTCTTTGGTTTTGATCAAATGAATTGCAGGCACCAGCTGGCCAAGTGCTTTAATCGGGCTTTGAGTCTGTGAGCCAGTGCATGGGAGCATCAGGGCAGGCTCGGCATTCTGCGGGGTGGGAACATCCTCCAGGCACATGGGGTGACTGAGTCTGGATTTTGCAAATGTTGAAAGGATATGGAAGTTACTTCATACGTGATTAGGAGGACTATGCCACCTTTAATTTCATAACACAATTACTGAAGAATTACTAGTAAAGCAAGAAATGGGGAGAGGATTAGAGGGCTTATTTAAAACAAGGTAGCAAAATGAATTTTAAAATATTTTAAAATTAAAGTAGTAGTAAATTTTTTAAAGTAGTATATAGATATGTAGATACACATTGTTTACAGAAGTGAGTATATAAGAGAGTGATCCCCATTTGTTTTGAAATTTTAGAATCCTAGCATTACTTAATTTTGTAAGATTCTTATCTCTCTTTCCTAAAAGTAACAGGTGTATATACTTACTTTAAATATTAAGAAAAAATAGGGTAAACATTAAATTATTTTATGAGGTACCTTGTAATAACTACAGACTCCCTTGGATTTTATAATCTTCCCAAGGTTACAATGACTGTTGACATCCCTTCTTTTTCCTTCCCTACTTTAATCCCAGATCTTTTCCTCATTCCTTTCTTCCCACCTGCTGTTCATTCAACCTTTATTTATGGAATCCCTAATCTGAAGCAGTATATGCTCAATAAATAATACAAGATACTGCTCTCAGTTGACTCGCAGTTCAGTGTGGAGGGAAATAACAACAATGATGATGATGATAACTAGCCCAGGACAATCTGCTGAGAGCAGTATTTAAAGAGGTATACACAAGATCTCACGGGAAGACTCAAGCTGAGACTTGGAGGGTCCTTAGGGTTTCAGCGGGCAAACAGACATTGGTTGGACGGGTGGACTTGGCAGAGATCAGGACCTGAGTAAGCATGGCATGTTCAAAACAGGTCTTAGTTCCAGAGCGCCCGTGCTGCTGGAGGGATGGGCCAGACCATGAGGGGTTTGCATTCCATGCCAAAGAGCTTGAGCTTTATCCCCAGGGCGGAGAGGAGCACCTAAGGGGTTTGAAACCTGGCAGGGACCAAGTTTGCATGAGTGAGGATGAGGCAGAGCAGAGTGAAACTGGAGGGAGTAAACCCAGAGACGGACTATAGTTTATAGATGAAAATGGGTCTGTGCATTTTTACCACTTTCTGATTTTACTGAACAAATCTGTTTCTGAGACTGCACAAGCATGCAAGGATGTTTCCTAGGGATCTGTGAAGAAAATACTTTAAATGGAGTTATCTATACTATGTAGGAATCTACTACTGTATTGTAATCACAGAGTAACACACACCCCTCAAAATACAAACCAACCAGAAGTGTACTCTGAAATTCCGCTAGCCCCTCATCCCCATGGACCGAGACAGAATTCTTTTTCAGCAATCCTAGAGAGATGAGTTCTGAAGTATGAACAGTCAAGGCCTGAATTATTATGTCTTTTCTATTCTCAGGTCTAAAAATCCCTACAGATGGTTAAAACTTACTTAAATCTCACTAAGTACTTGTTGTGTAGCATGGTTTCATATTTTCTTATATCTTCAGAGGGGACCTCTTGACCTCCATATAAGTAAGGAACATTATTTCATCCTTGGCTTGCTCTGTTCTGGGCTCTACCCAGTTTTGAAGCATTTCTTTCTAGATGCTGTCCTTCAATCTCATCATGTATGTGCCTGTCATCTAGGCACTCATCAAATTCTTAAAAGTCTTTGTAAAAAGTATAATTCAAAATAAAGCAGTGTATTCAATCCTAAAGGAAGGTAATGTAGAATATCCAAAATTCTACGTAGAAATGAGAATGCAGTACATGTATTAAGATTGTATGACCATGCCCAGAGTCACGATCATTTCCACAGTAGTGCTAGGACTCTTAAGGTCTGGGAGAGCTGAGTACCAGAGAACCTAAATGCCTGTCTTCCTTCAGTTCCTTAAACTCCACACATTTCCACTGCTCCAGGAACAGTTATTACTGTACTATTTCATTACTCAAAGTCTTAGCTTAAAAACTACCAAAATAAGAATAAACAAGCTGACACTCAGCATTTCTAGGTTTGATATAAAACTTATGAGTCCTCATTTGAGCCCTCCAGAGTCAGACAGAAGAGCTGTGGTTGGGATCCAGGCTCCTCTGATGGGACAGTGACCAGGGTGTCTTAGGTGGGATGCAAGATGCACTCATCTAAATCTTAACTTTCACTCTGTAGCATTTTAATAATTTTCCAGTGTTTTTTACTTCAAAGTTACCAATATTAAAAGTTAAACAGAATGCTCCATCACCGAGGAGAGAAAGAAGAAACATTCTTGAGTTTGAAGCTGCCTCTTCTGTCTATAGACTACCTGGACCACCAGGTACTATAATTGAGTTCAGTTTTCTCAGGTGTAAAAGGAGGGTAACAGCATTCATTTCCAGGATTATTGGAAGGATTGAGAAATACCACACGAATAGTGTTTATATGCCACACTTAGAATTAGAAGATATTGTTATAGTTTATTTAATTACTTTCCCTAAAATCCTAATCTAATAATGCTTCTGAATGACTTAATTTGTTGATGAAAATTAAGTGTTAAGTGCTTTTTCACTACAAATAGTGAATGGCAATTTTTCCATCAGTCGTGAATCTTGTGTATCAGGAGAGAGCCCCTGGGAAAAGGAAGCCGGGAAGGACCGATTAGGTCAACACAGCCAGGGCATGGTTACCTGTTATAGGGTGTCGAAAAGGTTGCCAGGACAACGTCACGGCCATTAACACGAATCACATCTGTAACCGCCTGGAGGATGTTGAAATAAAAATGAGAGTCTCCTGGAACTGAGCAGTTTAGGCGAGCCTTCAGGAAAGATGTCCACTGTTTCTCCAGGACTCTTTGAGATCCTCCCATGTCATTCTTACAAACCTGGGCCACTCTTGGGAAAACTACCTGCAGAGGAAAAACACGCAGGGAAAATGAAATGCACTCACTTTTTGAAGAGATCTTGGTAGAATTTCCCTTTCTTTGAAAATAGAAACAAAACAACAAGGTGCTTAATTTAATCTCATGTTTCTAAAATCAGTACCAAAAAAAAAAAAGGAAAACCTCAGCATTGGAACAGCATGTTTTAAAAGATAAGGGCTGTGGCATTTAATACAGAGCCATAAATCCTTCAGGGGATCAGCTCCCAGCCACATAAACTCATTTCCATACAGACTGCTTAGCTTTTTATTTCCTCAAACAAAAGCACACTTTGTATGCTCCATCTCTGGCATCCTCACTAGCTGCCTCTGGGCCTCGAGTCTCATACTCTGAATTCCTCTAACTGTGCAAGTCGCCCTGGCATTGAATTTGTGCCCTCCAACTTAGTGACCTTGATCCGCTCTCTGGTAATAACAACTGAATTGGACATCCCCTAAGTGTTCTTTTGCTTTATTCAATAAAGATAAAATTCAAGACCTCTACTTTGCTTAAAGATATTGGATACCTACTCTTTCTGTATATAGCATCTCATTAAAAAGAGAAAACTGTTGAGTATACCTGGAAACCACATCTCAAGAAACTTGAAATTCAGTATGAAATCATCAAACATGTTTAATACATTTTCAAAAGAAATATTTAAGATGTTCCCTGTACTCCGTTGCTATTCTGATAAAGCATCCAGCACAATGTTTCACTTCCACCAACGTTTGGATCTTCTCCAGATGATGACCTTGCCATTAGATTTATGGTTCCTATTTCAGGATCCTTTGTCACTACATTGGTCCAAAAGGGAGACGCCCTCCCCTCTTACCTTCCCCATGGTGTTGTACTCCACTGCTATTTCCCTGAAGAAGAAGTAGATGTAGCCTCCATAGTCCACCGCTTGCACAAAGTATGGTTCTGTGAACAAATTGGGAACTTGAATAGGGGACAAGTCACACAGTTGAAAAAATTTTAATCAGTTGCAACCAGTGACATGTTATTAATTAAAGGTGCAGGGCCATTAGACATCTGATTAACACCAACCGTTTTTAATGACTTCAGAAAGCCCACAAGCCTACGAGTTACACGTTCCAGAAGCGGTTGCAACCAACAGTGAAGACTAAAAGGGTTTTGCATATCTGTCCGTTATTGCCCACAACGGAACGCCCGTATGACAGAAAGGATTTTGTACATGTCCCCTCACCAAGCCTGACTCATGCAGAGTTACGAGCAGCTCTTTTCCTGGCCCCACCACCTCCGATGCCCTGCTCGCTTTTATGAATGAAACGTTCAGTTCTTCTCAGGCGGGACCCTGGTGTGAGGTTCGAGGCAGGGAGAGATTAATATAATGCTTTCTATTGTAGTAGCAGTGGTCGTTTTGTTAATATTCCAGGGACCCACGGGAAGGGAAAAGGGGAGGTGAATAAATCAGTTAAGGCAAAAGATGCAATTTGCACCTTCCTGTCTGTCAGAAGCCATTACTGAAATGAAACTACAGCCTGTCCTTCGGGACCCTAATATCCCTCGAGACGCGGGGCTCCCCCACCTCCCCTCCTTCCTTCTTTTGTTTGTTCACCTTTCAACCATTTGGAATCGTGCTTGACGGTCCGCAGGGTTGGGCTGTCTCCAAGGCTCCGGTAAATGACTGCATCGATGGCAAGGAAGTCAGTGACTGTGGCCGAGTACAGCTTCCCATCTAGAGGAAAGAGCAGAGAGGTGCGTGGGGAGGGGAGCAAGGCCGTGGGGGGGGGAGAAGGGAGTCATCCCCCAGATTGCTCTCCTACGCCAGGCGAGTGAGATAGGACAACTGGGGAAGGTCCAAGAGTCGCTGGGAAAGTACTTGGCCCACATTCCTGACCATTTTAAATTGGGATCCCAAGCGATGAAACATTTTTCATTTTTAAATTGCACGGCAATTTCTAAGCAGCAGCAGCTCCAGGAACAGGGTAAATGAAAAATGTATGTTGTTTGCTTCAGTTGATTAGATTGGTCCTTGACTGAAATCTCCAGGCCAAGGCCCCTGGACACTGCCATTGCCGCCACACCGTGGTAAACTGGAGCAGCCGGGGCGCCAGGGAAAGACAGAAGCTGGTGGTTGTCACCTGGACGTTTAGGTTCAAGCAGAAGCAATGGAGTCCTCAGACTGAACAGGGGAGGGGAGTTGAGAAAGGGGGGTTCATAAACAAAAAGGAGCTGACTAAATTGCTACTTATATCCTGAGTCACTGATCCCCTTTACCAGAGTCACGGAAGCCACTACACCCTGCCAATCTAGCTAAATAAGAGATATTTACTTCAGTATTTTCAAAGTCATGAACTTGAAAACATTCCGACATACAAGATGCCAAAGCAAAGAAAAAAGGGGGGATGGGTGACACTGAGCTGAAGCCTGGCTTTCTTTATGAATTCATGCTTTTGGGAGATAGGCTTGAGAGTGCATCCAAAGCAAAAGAGACTGAATTAGAATAAAAATTCATCCCTAAAAATTTTGATTCTTTTCCTGGATTAGCAAATGACCTGCACACAAATAATTAAATGGGGATGTTCCAGAATAGCAAAATCTATACAGATGAAACAGAGACAATAATTACATTCAAACTAAAAAATCACTTCCTTGGTTCATTAATCATATGTCAAAGCTCTTATGTACAATATAGTATTCTTTAAGCTCTTCCACTTGTAGGAAAGCATAATGGGTTATATAAAGTTTATACAAACATACCTAAGCAAAGTTCTTAATGTTTATCTTTGGACTTAAAATAACTGAAATTGGTTCAGGTGCCATTTAAAGCTGTCTTAATATCTGCATTATTAATAGCTGTATATTAGTAAGTGTTGACTGTTGGGGTAGGATTGGAAAAGCAGACAACAAACCTTTCTGTTGATGAACATATCTACAAAAATCACAACTTTAATTATAGAGTCATAGCCCCAGATGATAGAGATATAACTGGGAAGTGGGGGACGGGGAAGGAGTGTGTGTGTGTGTGTGTGTGTGTGTGTGTGTTCATTCCTCCTGACCACTCTCCAGTACTCTTTGTTTTACATTCAACACTGGGTATCTCATCAGACTTTTACATGTAAAACTGAGCGCTGTTCTGGCATTCTTGGTAACATGACAACCATTAAGCTGCAGCAAGGATCCTTCTATTAGTAAGGCCGAGCTTGTGTGAGGCTTCAGACATTGCAGTGAACACCTATTGGTGAAGGGGAGGGGCACTCATAGCACTGTCTCATGTGGATTGCTTTATATAGTTGGCTATAACAAATACTTTGCCCGTCCTTCCTTTTCTATAGCAAGTCCTCTTTTTAGTTTACAGTTGAATTTAAATTCTCCACTGCAGCCCACATCCTCCATGGTACCAACTAACGCAAGTTCCAGTGTCAGAAATGTGCTACGGTGTAAGTTGTGCCTTTGGGAATGTACCCAAGCATCTCTTTCTGCTGGGCTTGCTCCTGCCCATGCTGACATAGGTTTATAAGACTTTGTGTTCCTTACAATGCTGCTTTCCAGTAATAGTGTGCTCTGACTTAGGCGGGGGACCCAAGGAAACTCTCCTTAACTTGGCACAAGCTGTTTCTACATTCTGTGACTACAGATTTAGGACCACAAAAGGATGACACTGAGAATGACTGAGGTTCAAGGAGCTAATCTTGTTTCACAATCAAAGATCTAAAGCTCCTTGTCTAGCTAGGATGTGCCAGTTTTTAGCTTTTATAATGGAAATTGTAGCTAACTGCTATATTACATGCTATAACAATCACTATTATACCAACTGTTTTCCTTGCACCTACCTCCACATACATAGCTGGCAATGAATTCCAAAACAAATTTCTAATTAAAGCACACACACTCATCCACAAAACCTCAATTTGAAAATGATGGCTTATTTGCTGCTGCTTTATATCCACTGCAATGGAAGGAAGGTGTGAAGATGGGGAGTAGGGGTCAACTTAAGCTAACTGGCACCGTCCCCTCGGCCACTACCTTTCCATCAGAGATAAGCACATAACCCAATTAGCTCAATGTTATTTGAGAAGTTGTTTGCTGGAAACTTGGGGGTATGTAGCCTCACTGCTGTGAGAGCGCTTCTGGAAACTTCCTTTAGTCTCTTTCCTTCTCTCTTCTGTATGTGGGCAAGAAGATATGTAGCCCTGATTGGGGTTGGCAGGCATCTTATGACTACAAGGGCAGCCAGTCTCTCTCAGAAGGAAATGAAAGTGAGCAAAGTGAGAAGGACCTGTGTCCTGGATGATATTAACGAGCTGTTGAATCAAACCAACCCTTACCCTAAATAATTCATCTACATCAGTGGTTTGAGGTGGAATTTTCTATTTTTGAGCTCAGACAGGCCCTAAATCAATGTTACATTCAGTGCAAAGCTGTTAGCCTTTTCTGAAGGAACAAAACCATGGGTAAGTGTGGCAGAGACTTCTTTTAAGAAGCAAAATTACAATTTCCATACTAATTTCAAATGGAAAAGGCATTGTTAATTACAGTATTCACCAGAGAAATAAAGTAGGACTGTGACTTGGCGAATCCTCCAGAGCAGGTTTGCAGGAGCACGCTGAAGACGCGAAAGCAGCAATGAGAAGAAATCCGATCATTTACCTGCAAACAGTGCGATGTTGGCATGCTTGGCATCATAAGGGCATCTGGCCATTCCACTAAATTCATCCCCCAAAGGTTCCAACGTATCCATCTAAATGAAATAATAGGACTTCATTAGGGACAACAACTAACAGTAGTGACAGCAACTAATATTTACAAAGCACCTAATGTGTTCAGTAATTCATATTCATGGTGCAAATCACCCTCAGATACCCTCTTAGATAAGTCTACTGGTTTTCAATGAGGAAACTGAGGTTAGGAGGGATTAAGCCACTTGATCAAGGTTCTATAGCTAAAAGAGTCTGAAATTCAGTTATGTCTGCTTGACTCTTAGCCATTACAATAGAATCCCATATCCTTAAATGCTCTAGAAATAAGTGTCTTCTCCTTGGAGAAAGAATTTCTGAGGCAATCACCAGGAAGACTTATGTGCCTTCCTCCTTCACTCCCTTCAAATTGTCTGTGGAGGCATGAACTCTACAGAGAATTATCTCAGTTTTTGGTTTTGGTTTTCCTGAGGACCTGCCTTTGTGGGTTAAATCCCAGGAGAAGACATGGGCTCACACTGGTCAAAGGCAGTGAGGGGTGGGGCTGCTATCTGACTTTGGTCTCCTAGTGCCCAACCCAGGCTTGGTTCCTGCATGCTAGAGGTTATTGCTGGCTTGCCAGTGAGTTTTACTTGGCTATCTTAGTAAAAAAAAAAAAAAAAAAAAAAAGATGAAGGAAGAAAAGGAGAAAGGGAGGGAGAGGAAATAGCCTTATTTTAAAATGGAGTTTTCACACGAAAACCTGGATTTCTTGCTTTTGAACAAGTGGGAAAGTCAATTCAGGCCCTTCTTCTCCAAGTGGCAGCAACAAGCTATTGCTGAGTAATGGACCCCCTTGCCTTTTCCTTCAAACAAGCATGTGGCATCCTGTACCAAGGCCCCTTCACCCAAGAAGGTATCAACATCCTGCTTGCTTTGCTCCTAAGCTGCCTGCCTGGCCCTACAGGCATTTGCAGGTGCGCAAAACCTTGCTAGCTAGTCACCAAATTCCAGTTCTCTTTCCTCCGTATCGTAATAAACTACACTTACCATGCTCCACTGTGGTGACTGAGCTCTGGCCAAGGGAATGTGAGTGTAAGACTATGCACCACCTGTAGCTCTTGCCCCTAAAAACCTCCAGGGTCCTCTAGGCTTGTTCTCCTTCCACATTCTCCCCGTAGGCACAGAGGATCCAGTGGACAATGCCACGGCCCTAGGAGACCGCAGAGGTACGAGCAGGATGGGGCTTGGCCTCCTGAATAACCTCATGGAACAAAACCTCTGCCACTGACCAACACTGGACTGTGCTGCGAGCAGGAAATGAACTGCTATCGGTCAGCCACCAGCAGCAGTCAGAGGCTGGCCTACCTTGACCATCTGTTGAGTGCTTTCAGCCTTCTACTTCGTGGTCGTCGTCTTTACACCATGGGATCTTCCTAGCATTTAAATCTCAGAACCATAGAGCCCATAAAATAATCTCCACATTGTTGATGTTTTTATGCCCCTCTGTGATTCTTTATAGTTTTAGGGTACTTTGTTTATCATCTGGCAGTTGCATGGTTTGACTACAGATATGAAAACTGAAAGAAGATAAACCTAAGATAGAACTGCTGCTGAGGGAGAATCCACGGAAAGGCCTTCATCACTGAATCAAGGTGCTTGGAGTCACTGCTCCGGAGGAAGGAATGAGGTTCTTTTTTAAGTTATAGTTTTATAAAAAATATATCTTTATTGATTTCAGAGAGAGGACAGGAGAGGGAGAGAGATAAACATCAATGATGAGAGTCATTGATCAGCTGCCTCCTGCACGCCCCCTACTGGGGATCAAGCCCACAACCTGGGAATGTGCCCTGACTGGGAATCGAACCGTGATCTCCTGGATCACAGGTCACTGTGCTGCTCAACCGCCGAGCTACGCCAGCTGGGTGAGAGTGAGGTTCTTACTGAGCAGCCATTAGTGCTGTCCAATCAATTGTGTCTTTTGCCCTAAACCTGCAGAAACTGTTTCAGGGATATGACAGGCCTTTTCTATCTGTAACCATTTTGAGATACCCGCTATCGAAGCCATCCTATTTGTTTAAACTGTAGTTGAGAATCACAAAGCAGTTGTGTTAAAACCATATATTTTTAGGAGAAACATGTTCAAGTCAGACACCCTTTAAAGCAAATGTACTCTTTTCCCCCAGCACATTTTCATGAGTCTATTCCAACGAGACCTTCCTGTTGAACTGTGATAGACTCTGCCGGCTGTGGGTCTGGCAAGTATTCAAAAGTGATGCTTAGTACACAGTGATGCAACAGAAACGCGCTCCTCCCAAGCCGTGCGCTCTGTAATCCTGGCGATGGGGAACAATGTACAAGGGGGAGATATTTTTTCAATGTCCCTATTTCCAAAACAGTGGCCACAGCATAGCTAGTCAAAGGCAGGAAGCAGTGAAGGATTAACAGATTGGTATATAAGTATGGAAGGTGCAGAGACAAAACAGTGCCACAGTGAAATCCTCTTTTCATGAACTGAGAACTAATCTTTGCATTAGTCATCAAGTCTCACACTTGACAGCAGCCCCTGGGAAATTAAATCACCGTAGGGTACAGGCAATTATAGCGAGAACCAGCCTGACGTTTGCAAAAGTTCAAGAGGTTTAGAGCACAGGAGGGAAAAGGTATGGAGTGTAGTTTTGGATTTATAGTGGGGAGCCTTCAGAATTCTTCCCCAGATAATCTTATTTGGGGCCATAATCTTTCTAACACATTCAGCCTTCTTTTTAGAAATAAGGGCATGGAGCAGTGGCAGAGACCCAAAATTTGCCACCCTCCCGCCTCGAGTCAGTCTAATCAACTTGATGCTTCTGCACTGTGGGATTTAGGATTTTCAGTAGAAGACTGACTGGTCATTGTTTTTTGCTTTGAATCTTTGGCCCTGATCTGTTTATAAAAAGTGCTTAAGAGAGAGGCTGTCCATGCTCTCTGAAGCCAAATACAGTCTCTCCCGTATCATCAGCACAGTTCTGCTGTGCCTGGAGTCTAAAAGAGCACTTCTGAGCAACGCCAAGGGTTCCCATGACCATTCACCGTGCTAGGCATATAGATGGGGATCGCACAGGGAGAACATCTTGTCTGGTTTCTGAGAGGCTCATGCTCCTGGAATATGCCTCAGCAGGTGAGGCTAGAACAACTGAGAGGTGAAAGCATCACCATAGGTGAGGCATCCTGGGGAATGGAACATATGTGGGAAGAATGAGCGAGATCACTCTCGGCCTGTAATCTGTCACAAAAGATAGCTTTGCAAGTAGGGAATTCATTGGGATTTGCTAGAGGAAATTAATCTTAATGAGTCCCAAACAGTGACACACAGCAATGGAATATTAAGTGGTCGAATTAAAGTAAAAACTTCAGCTGTGTGTTGTCATTGGCTGGAGTCAATGTTTGACTGGACTGGCTGCCTTTATTATAAACTGCATGGATCCTGTTATTATTTAAAATTTTGATATTTTATGATAGTATTTTTTTGCATTGATTTAGGTTTTTAAATAGATAGCATTAGCCCTGGCCGGTGTAGAACAGTGGTTAGAGCATCAGTTGGTGCACCAAAAGGTTGCGGGCTCGGTCCCCAGCTCTGGTAGGGGCCCGTGCAGGAGGCAATCAATTGATGTGTCTCCCTCACATCGATGTTTCTCTCTCTCCTCGCTCCCTTCTACTCTATCTAAAATCAAATGGAAAAATATCCTTGGGTGAGTATTAACAACAACAACAAAAAACCCAAAATACATTGCATTAAAAATATCATTGATTACTGAATTTTTCTGGTGCCCCTGCGTTTTGTGCCTGAATTCCTCACTTGCCTCACCCTAATCCTGGCCCAGCTGGTGCCCATTTCCAAGCATAAGATTGAAGATGAGCATTAGGGTAAAACAGACCCTCCCTTCAATGTCTCTGCTAAGGCCGAGAGTCTCTTAAAACTGTGAAAGCAAAGCCTGGTGACCCCCTGGTTCTGATATCTTTTCTCATTTTCACACCCAGGGTTTCACGTTATGCTGGTGAAACCCAAACCTTTAGTTCTCCCCATGTCTCTCCCTAAACCGAGGCCTAGCCACCCAGCTTCTTGTTAGATAGCTCTGTTCATGTCTCAGAGGCGTTGCCATCCGCAGTGCTATGCGTGCTCGGAACGCACACACCTGAACCCTCGTCTTCTCACTGCCCCGCTCAACACCCATGCTCTTCCACCATCCTCTGTCTCAACTGGAGGCAGCCCCTTCCGTCCACTCACCCAACAGATAGCCTAGTGGTCATTCTCAGCTCCTCCCTCCTGTTATCCTGTGCTTCTCATCAATTACGGAGTCCTACTGGCTTCTGTCACTTCAGTATTTCCTGAATCTGTTCTCTTTCTTCCACCCATGGGGCCACCTACCTCTCCAGCCTCTTTTCGTGATCACTTGCCACTTCGCAGACCAGCACTCCAGGACCCAGTGAAGGTTTTCGAGCTCAACAGACCAGCTTTACTCCGTGCCTTTGTTCATGCCGCGCCCTACCTGGATTGCCCATCTCCTTACGTCTGACTAACGTCTACTTCTTTAAGACAAAGGTTAGGCATTATCTCATTCACTATCTCACCAGAATCCATCGGGCACCTGCTTGGAGGCACTTGGTCAGGCTCCAGCCCATCACTGGTGTGCTTGTACTCACAGAGCTTATGGGTTTCTCCTGGGCCGCAAATGCCGTTGTGTTCCATACGTGAGAACAGCGGGGGCGGGGGCGTCTGAAGAGAGGGGTCATCTACCTCTTCCTGGAAGCTCTCCCCAACTCCTAATCTCAGGCTAAGTACTTTTTGGTTGTACCTCCATAATGTTCTGCATTATGTTTCCACAGTAGCAACCCCATGGATCTGCGGTTTCTTCTTCCTGCCTGGCTTTCCTAAGGGTGGAGACCTCCTATCCGTCTTTACAGCTTCAGTGCTTGGCCACGGGAGAAACTCTATACATGTTTGCTGAATGAAAGACTGTGGCAGAAAGAAGGGGCAAGGGGAGCTAACAGGTGTGGAGCCAAGACCTCAGATCATTGCCACCTCTGCTTTTGCAGCTGGCAGCTCCCACCTCTTCAGCAATACCTCTATCAGCTGCATCAGAACTAACTAGAGTTATTAATGCTTTGAGAGTTAATTTCCCCCCCCTTGCATAAAGGCCATGGTAGGTAAGGCCATGGGTAAGTAAGCAGAGTGCTAAATGGAATGAAATTCCTGTGTTCTTGAAAATTTTACCTAGATAAAAAGTCTACAGTTTTCAATGGCCTGCTTTTGAGATACCTTTTAAAATAGGAATGACTCATAGTACATATGAGTGTGTTTCTGTGCTCAGAGAGGCGGGAGGGAGAGAGAGAAAGGAAGAGAGAAAATCCACATGGCATGTGTGGTAAGTATGTTGGTGTTCTGCGTAATAAAGAATAGGGTCTTATAGAAACTAACTTTTCTAGGTAGGCTCTTTAAAGGCCCGTCAATCAATCCTGAACCAACAGGAAACTTAGAAGCTTGCTCGGGATCACGCATGTGGAACAATACATTAAGTCGAACAAATGAGAGAAGCCCAGGTGGTGGTGAATTACCCCTCTAAGACTGCTGCAGGTACAATCACAGTAAATTATGAAATACCTCCAGGACATGGGGTTCCAACAGCCAAAATGGCACTTACCTTATAGTTTCTGCAGGAAGGGTTGAAGGCATTAGTTCCACAGACAAATAAAGTATCATCGTTTTTCTTTAGAATAACTTTAATGAAGTTGTGGCACTCATCCTGAAAAAGAATTCAGACTCCTTTGTATTCAGTCCATTCCACACAGAAACCCATTCTTCACTGTGTACTGTGACCTGGACAGTCAGGTTAACAGGAAGGTGGCGAGGAGCGCCTCTCTTAAAAGTTCGAGCTCCTCCACGTGTTGACCAGAAGATGATACTGACAACAAGAACTGCCTTTAGAACAGCAAATGAAAACGTGGCATAGAGTCTGCGTTTGTGTCACAAAAGGACAGCAGGCTTGGGATTGGCAACCTCCCATCATATTAATTTTAACGCCAGATGCTGTATGTAGGGTTTCTTGATATACAAGGCTCCGGGCTGAAGTGTGTTTTTATGCTGTTCTGTGACCAAAGGCACAACCCCTGTATGTCTGCAGCAGCCTTTTCTGAGCTGCTCTGCAGAGTCCCTGAGGGCTTTGGACTGTGAGGTGGGCTCCTAGAGAGTGCACTTAAGAGAGTCAGGGCAGCCAGCTTTGTGTCCCTAATCCCTAGTGCCCCTAAGTAGTTCACGATGCAGCCCCGGCAGCTGTTGTGGTGTTTCATCACATTAAAAGCAAACTATTTTTGCAAATTAAAGCCTTCACTAAGTTGATGGAAAAAGCAGTTACTGGTGGAAAAGGGACTTGCGTGATCCATTTGACATCATGGCCTATGGCTGGAGATAACAGTCAAAACCTTAACCCAAAGTGGCAGCTGCAGGAGAAATGAAAATTGCCTACCTTATGTTTCCCCTTCATTCTGCATGTGTCTACATCAGCCTGTCTAGATTTCCATGTCAGCTTCTGCAGGGATCAAGAAAGAAATCAATTGGAGCCCAGAGATTATTGCATTTGATTTTAGAAGAGTTCCCTTGGGGAGACTAGCGACTGAACATATATTTACTGAAAGCTTTCCACACCCTTTCTCCATGATTAATTCACCATAACAACAAAAGATTAAAGATGGAAATGTTCATTTAATTTTGAACTCCTATGTATTCATTAAACGACAAAATGATCTTCTCTTTGAAGTACAGATGGAAGAAAAAGAAGAATAAACAACTGGAAATTTCACACAAAATACCCAAATTACCTTGCTAAATTATGCTCATTTTGATAAAATACAGGCTGTCACCCTTTCCTTTCAGTTGATAAATCAATTTTCATAAAGCAAGCTTTTTCCTTAAAATATGGAAGTAATTTTCTTAAAAATAAAGGAGACATTCACTTTGGGTGGACAAAGGTTTAATTCAGGTTACACTCCGCTTAAATGCATGGACTAAAGGGATCGTCTACTTCTGTGGCAGATTTTATTAACTAAAATACCTCCATGTGGAGATATCAGGAGAGCCCCGGCTGTATTTTATGTCTGTCTGAAATGTATAATGGTCAGATTCCTGAGTCACAACAGTCAAATCTAACTTAATACTGCAAGACATGGAAACATAACATTTAAACATTTATGGGACAAACTTTTATGCATGAAAACTGATATTTTCCTGGACAAACATGGCAATATTTTATTGAAGGAACATAGGAATTACCTAAGACTCAAAGTGTATCTACTCACATATTTGATGAATGAAATATGACATATATAACTGTTTCTGAATATGTATCAAGCCCTAACTTACCCTCAAATAAGTTCTCACAAAATGTTCTAAATTATCATTAGCCATGTCCTCGCAAATCAATGCATTTAAAGTACAAATTCTCTTCCAGAATTATCCTAAGGTCATTCATTTCAGAAAGATGGTTTTAAAACTACTTACTTTGCTACAATAAATTTCTTCCGTGTGTGATGTGTCTATATCAACAGTATAAATATGGTCCCTATAAACAAAGAAAAATTGATACAATGTCAAACATAAGCAACAAGACAGTTCATTTTCTCCTGAATGAGTATATATCTCACTTGAGGCAGATAAATCCATATCCCACTATTAAAAACCAAGACATCCACGTGCAAGAAAAAGGGAAGAGCTGCCTCTCAAGCACATTCAGCACCTTTGGATATGGTGGCACCTTGCTGATGGGACACCTATTACAGAAACCTCCTGTAGTCTCTCTCATACCAGAGCTCTAACCTCTGTATATTGTGGTTCAGGAGAGAGGACTGTGGAAGTTAAATTGGCCCCCAGACTGGAACACAGACAGGTTCACATTTCAGTATCTTCAAACCCATGGGCCAGACCCTTGGTATCCAGCAAGGGGGCTAACAAAAGGCTAATGTTTGGCTCCGTCTCTCGGCCTTGGCTTTGGTGATGTGATTGACAAGATGGAAGATGACAAAGGTAAAATGATTTCCAGAAACCACTCTTTCCTTCGCATAGTGATGGTCAATTAGGGTCTAAAATGTACTTGCGCTGAAGTTCACATTTCTTGCTTCTGTTCACCTTCCTGTTTTGCTGGGGACTCGGTCGTCCTTGTGACTCGCTGCCAATCTCCCTTTGGAAGGGGAGAGACGGAATCGGCAGCTCAGGTGTGGGGCTATATTTAAACACCCCCTTCTGTTTGAGCTGAGTACAAGGGCGTTTTTGTCTGGAATTCAGAAGAAAGAGAAGAAAAGACCTACACTCAACTGGGGAGATGGGGGCTAGGGAGGGAAAGCAAAACAGCTCATTTTCCTTTGAAATAACATTGACTTTTTCTAAAATGCAGGAAGTCCTGGGGCTGGAAAATTACCCACAGCTTTAAACCAAGACCTCCAGGCTCCCGTGCAGATTTTCAAGCCCCTTATGACTTAAAAGAAAGGGGGGGGGGG